AACAGAGAAGGTGGACAGTACATGTATCAGGAGAGTGTTCAAAGATTCAATAAGTACTAGCCTTTTGCCCGTCCAAGGACGGGTGTATTGCAGTAAATCTGAAACTTGCAAGCGTAAAGCAGACCGCGACGTGGTATATTCATTGCATAAATTCGTGTGCAATTTGTAAAGGCGCGGTGACACAGACCTATTTCATTTTAAGGTTATAATCTCTTGTTCATCATGACGTCATTTTTACTTTGATGTCTCAACAGCGTTACGGAGATCACGTGACGTGAGGGTTCTGCCTTCGGGGAGGAGGCGCCTCGCCCTCCCATGTGGAGTGACGTCAGCCGCTAATTATTATGAATGGAGGGGGGGGGGGTCCATTTGGAGGACATCACCTGTTCATGATTATTGTGGGGGGGGGGGGGCTGTTCGATGTGGAGGGACGTCAACCTGCTCGCAGCAACAAAGTCGGTCACTGCATCGCGCGCTTTCAGACGCGCTTCCGTTATAAGGAAGCCACCGCACTTTAAAATCTTAAATTGAAAGTTATTTAGAACGGCTTTTTGTGTTTAGTCCTTCCCCCGTATCCTCTGATTAGCATGGTTGGCTAAGTGCGGTGTGAAAGAAGTTAAATATACAAACAGACTATGTTTTGAATCCAGAAACTTTCATTAAATTCCTGGCCATGGCTACAATCAGTGTGTGAGTGATATCTGAATTATTTCTGGGCCCTCACCTTCACCAACCCACAGAGCGTGGCGAGGCCTTTATTCAGCAGTAGATTGCCAAAAGGGGGACTAATAAATTGATATTAATTATATCGCGAACAAAGTGATGAGTGGAAAAATACACCATTGTCGTTGAGCCTTGTTGACGAACACATGCACGTAAGATGTGCATGAACACACGTGCACGGAGGCACAAATGTACGCATATATTGTTGTTATTAGTCAGCGCCATGCTTGAATATTATTTTTAAAGGACGAGGGCACAACATAAAACAAAATGATGACGACAATGATACGAGCACGGGGGCATATATCACCATAAAAAAATATAGCACACGTGTGAATAAACTTAAACATAAAAATAAATTAACAGCACTCTGTGCATTAGCTTTGTGTGGCGTCATTGCACGGTAGGTGCTTACTGGGGGGCGCCTATCCTCTGGGATGGAGCATCGTTACGTTTGACAAATGGGCTATGCCGTACACTATCCATCACTAGGCGCCTTCATGCACTCTTTGGCACTAGGCCTTAGCTGGGGAAAAAAAAACCACAAGAGTATATAAATATATAATGAAATTGAACAAAACAAGCAAGAGGATTGGAGAGAGGGAGAGCAAGAGAGCAGGAGAAACTGAAGATAGGCAGGAGAGACTGGAGAGAAAGCGAATCGGGACAGAGGGAGAGAGGCATTTTTAAAACCTCTCATATGTGAACAAATGGGCCAGAAAGCAAAAACATGCACGTTTAGCGATCCGATGGAAGGAGAAGAACAGCAACAGCCGGCAACCGAGAGAGGAAATCTATTTAAAAATATGCGGAAAGGAAAATGACCCCATACCCAAAAGTCAGCCAGAGGCATTGTGTTCTGGTAAAAGAGCTATAACTCTGCGTTCCACTTACATTTGCAAATATCAGCTGGGAGTGAAGAAAAATAAAATATATCGTGTATGAAAATGAAAAACCCCTTCCTTTTAAAATGAAATTTCCAGTGCAGCATTTTTCACATCTGTACCAATAACAGATCAAGGGTGGAAATGGGAAAAGTATATAAACTGTTTCAGGTTGAGCAAAAGTTTATTTTGCTCAAGGTTTAATTTATATTTTTGGAGAGATCACTTTCTTAACCCTTTCGACCGATATGACAAAATCTTCTTCGTGCATTAAAACGTTAAAACGAGTGTACAATACTACAGAAAATCCCAAATCAATGCTGCTTATGCAAAATTGCTTTCCTCGCATGAAATGTGCCACCTCTTTTCGGGTGTAAGATTTCAAAACACATCACGACCAAAATAATTAAAATCTATTTCATCACACGCATGTCAACACAAGGCAGTGTACACCACCCTACAGATTCTGCCGCTCACTGTCTGGCAAACAGATTCACGCCCGGCTTGTAGTCGCCGCGCAAAAAAAGAGTTGAATGAATTACAGTTGACAGTTCCATAAAAAAATGACATCTCCCAACGAAAATAAAACCACACTTTTCATTCCGCTGCTCGCTAATCCCAAAATTCCAATTACTGGCAAAGCTAATGAATGTAGCAGCTAATGGTGTGCAAGCAGCAGAATTCCGGAGCTGCTGTCACTTCAGTTTGGAGCCGCCGACTTAATCATAAATCACGATTAGCTGGGTAATGAAGATTTCGGACAAAATGCCGCCACATCAAATTACCTGTGTGCTGCATTAAATGGGGTCAGCGGCACAGGAGGCGTGCGCTTTAGGAAGAGACTTGAATATTGTAACTGCTGAAAACCTTGCCTGCCTGTCATGCTAAACCATGCGAAGAGCACACAGCAAAAAAAGAAAAAAATCCACGTAAATGTCAGAAGATAGTATCATGTTAGGTTTTCACCAACATCTCCTGAAAGGTGTTGGGGCACCACTATATCAAAATTCAGGATTCCTACTGCCCAACTTTTGCTGTTGTAGACATTGAACTGCCAGAACAACAGGTATCCAGGTGCTCCATCATTATAGGCATGACCTAAATCAGTGTTTTTCATGCTAAGTTTGCTTGCGTAATGAAATATATATTCTTTCAAAATTGGCATGAAGTTGCTCCTGGTGCATCCGCAAGCCACTCATTTGCCGTGTTACCCTGGGCAAGCGTGCAAGTACGTAACCATGCGGGTTCAGTACATTATCGACTGGCAACTGCTGCACTACATTGATCACTGTAAAATGCTGTTAAAAACTTCAGAATGGCCCGACAGAATAACCTTTTCCCAGAAAAGTGTCTTCCGATACCCCCTGGACCTCCCCAACCACCTCTCCCACCAAACACCAAGCCAACTCTTTCTGTGCCTCCCCCCCCCCCCCACCACTGCCCAAACAGCAACACTCAGAGCCCTGCCCGACACAGTCCCTGGCGGTTTGTTGTAACCCGTGCTAATTAAATCAATTCTCCGGCAAGTCGATTCCGCCGCCAGCCTTAGCGCCGGCCTTGCGTTCCAGCACTCCTCCCTTGGCTTGGAAATGCATCATTACAGTGCGATAAACGCCAAGTGCAGCATAGGACAACGCATGCTCATCCGCTGCTGCAACTCCCCAATGGTTTAGGAATGTGGGGCTGCGTACGCATTCAGAAACATGTTACGAAGCTGCGCATGAGAAATACAACGAATGCAGTGAGTTGTAGGACTAATTGCGTGCATCAGATGAGCTGGAATGCAAGGGTTATCTCTGAATAGCAAGGATGAGGACAGAAAGGGCAGAGCTTCTTCTTGATACATTCCTACATATCAATAAGTATATTATGATAATAATTTGAGATTATTCATAGAAGTGGGATCTACAACAGAACAACCCTGATCTAATGACGAGTCGCCTACAATTAAAACCGATCTTATTTGTAACCATATTATCTGCAAGTGTGAAACCGTCTGTGGACACTCCCAATTTCCGTGGTTTGATTTGTCATATTGTACTTTTTTTTACGGACAAGGGTTTATCCAGAGGAGATCACAGCAAAGCCTAAATTTAACCTGCTATCTGTAATTGGACATGGATAAGATGATGAACAATGAAGACCATCATAATATTCATCACATTGTTGTTGCTACTGCTGCTGCAGCAGCATATATCATGTGCACACTCTGAATTAGTGCTCCACAAATTATATTATATTGGTCTTCTCTTTGGATTTGTGACAATGCTTTAAAAATGTTTCGTTTGACTATCCAGTCTTCCAAAGCTTGATATTATTATCACCTTGGTGAAATTCAGCAGCGGTAAAATTTTATCGATAGCAGTGGGACACGTTAAAAATTTGATTTGGAATGGATGACACGCAATAATGAATACACCAAAACAAGCAAACCTTTGCTTGTGGGTTTATTTATTTATTTATAATAATAAAAAAAAGCAGGCCAGATGTAATTTACACCAGACTTGCTCTTTACAAAAGGGCCAGAATAAACTGTGACTTGTGCCTTGTATCCTATTCAGGGCAAGGAAGGGGATGCCATTAAACTGGCACAATTACAGCCGCTAATTCAATACGCCCACTCCATCTACCCACTCGCTCACCCAAAGATCTATTAAAGTACCATAAATGTGGCTGCTAACGCAATAAATGTGTGTTCTTGAGTTCACACTGGCAGCGACAGATATACCTGCTTTTACAACGTGCTCAATCTGTCACTCTTATGCATTTTGCCTTCCCAGCAGATAGACTCACAAGAGCATGCCAATGCAATATACCTATTGCATCCATTATGTCAATTTTAAACAGACAGACACCGGACTGCAGATATCTATGCATGCAACACAATAGTCAATATTGCCCTTCCAAATTGATTAGCATCAGAAGACAATTGCAAAATCAGCCTGCTTTGTATTAATCACTGTTAAAGGCCTGCGCATGAATCGGAAGTAGTGTGGTCAATACAGAAAAGAAAAAGGTTGCCAATATCGTAAATGTCTTTAGACAATTATCGATTTCCTATTACGTTACTTTATGTGTCTTGGCCCAGCAGTGATTTATAAATAAAAGAGAGTTTGCTACAAATTTTGATTAATACGCATTAAAATATACAGTACAGAGCGGTGAGGAATCAGGATTCTCTCCAACAAATATCAGGTAACGTCAATCTATAACACACTGGAATGCAACGCTACATGCGTTTGAAGCAAAGCAGCATGAGGTCCCCAGTTAAATAAAAGACGTCATCACTGACCATTCAATAAAAACAAATCCATTGGGAAGATTTTGATTTGTTTGCAATGCCGTGCAGCGTGGAATTAAATACCCTGGATGTGCATTAGCGTGCGACCCCACCTTTAGCGGCTTGTGCTGCAAAAGTTTGGGCCAGCTTTGAAAGGACATCTGGGTTTTCAAAGCGTTCCTCCTTGGCCTTTGTCCAGAAGCTGTTTTCCTTGAACTCCTCTGGCCTGATCTGGGAAAAAGTACACAACTTTAAGTGGTGCTATCCAGCTTTTTGTAGCATACTGATACGTGCTAAAAAGAGAAACAATCCTTGAAAAGGGCATTTATAAAAAAGAAATGTATCTCTATCCTTGAACATTATGAATGTATACTCTTTGGTTCTATTCGGTAAAGTCACGTAGGTAAAAAAGAAAACAACAAAAAAATCACGACGTTTCGGCCACACCACAAGCGGCCTTCATCAGGTGAAGGGATCAGGCTGTCTCGAGGACAGCGCTGGAGTGAAACAGAGCCACGCTCAGACCGCGACCTTTAAGCTGTGTGCGAGGAAACAAGGTGCCTTGACAAAGGAATTAGCATAAAAATTAGCATTTGATTGGCCGACTTAGCATAGAGGTGGTGTACGTGCGGGTGCACTTGCCGTTTGGCGCGGGGGGGGGGGGAGTTTACCTATTGATGGTGTGGAAAGGGAATTTTTAAGAGCTGCGAAAGTTTGGGGTACCACTACTTGAAAAATATACTGTACCAAGGTTCTTCGCAAACCCACGGGTTTTTATCAGAGATTTGTTCACGAGGCAATTCAGATCTACAAACAGACACAATTTCAACCGAGAAGATGGTTTCAAATTAAGCAACCATTGGAAAGATGTTCTAAATCGAACCAAACATTAAACTAATTTTCAATGGTACAGTATATTTTTCAAGTAGTGGTACCCCAAACTTTCGCAGCTCTTAAAAATTCCCTTTTCACACCATCAATAGGTAACTCCCCCTCCCCCGCACCAAACGGCAAGTGCACCCGCATGTACACCACCTCTATGCTAAGTCGGCCAATCAAATGCTATTTTTTATGCTAATTCCTTTGTCAAGGCACCTTGTTTCCTCGCACACAGCTTAAAGGTCACGGTCTGAGCTTGGCTGTGTTTCACTCCGGCGCTGTCCTCGAGACAGCCTGATCCCTTCACCTGATGAAGGCCACTTGTGTTGTGGCCAAAACGTCGTGATTTGTCGTTTTATTTTTTACCTACGTGACTTTACCGAATAGAACCAAAGAGTATGGATCCTTGCAGTCACGAAAGCTTCAAATCTAGAATTATGAATGTATTTAAATGTGGTCACTGCAACGCCATTTCAAAAGGGTGGTCATCATCATCATCAATCATCCTCAGCATTCATGACCCATGAAGTCCTCCCCACATAATAGCCAACCAACAACCCTCACAGTATTGCAATGCCATAAGCCATCTTCTGCACAAAACCTAATAATCTTATTGCTCCATCTAGAGTTGCATCACTCTCGAGTGTTCCCTCCCTCAGCTGACATTTCATCACCAGTGTCGTCCATTGGCCAACATCCATTCTAGTGATGTCATAGCCAAGCCCACTTTCTTAACAGTAAATATGTCTATAACTTGCATTTATTCTGATCTACATATTTAGCTATTTGTGTAATCAGTGTAATTGCCAGCATGTCTTTACATGGTAATTTGTGCGCTTCTCTCAGATTTTTGTTCCCTTTTCTTTACCAATGCCCATGTTTCCTCACTGCATCGCATGCTCAGAAGCGCTTCTGCAGCCATCTAGAACGATTTTCCATCTGATATTAGGAAGCCACTGGAGCTATGCACTTTTAAACCCTAGATTGAAAACTTATTTTTTTGTGTTTAGTTTGTTGTCCTTCGCCCACACCTCCAATCAACAAAGTTGGTAATGTACAATACGAAATAATTTCAAAATACACACATTTCTGATCCATATGCATAACAGGTAATATGGAATGATTTAAAACTTTTGTCCCTGAGGCACACGAGTATGTTGCTTTTCATTATTAAATTAAATTTTCCAAAAGCACACCAACTGCTCACATTCCCCTCTATATTCCATCAGATGTCAGTTTCAGCTTCCTGAAGAAGGAAGACCAGTCAGCAGAAATGTTGAAATATTCCCAACCTCTTGGTGAGAATATATTATTAACCTGTTATCTTCATTATTCCACAATTCTGACCAGCCTTCCTTCGTGAACTGCCCTAGATAAACACACTTCAGTTGTATCCCTCTGACAATTATTTTCTTTTGATCAGCAAACCTCTTGTAGAGGACTTTATGTTAAGCACACATTTTCAGCCTTCTTGGGAGGTCCTTTCATCATCTCCAGTAGCTCATTTCCATTGGTTATGACTGTTGTGAGCAAGTTCAGTTATGCTCATGCCTTCATTTCTACAATTATATATGAATATATTTCCAAGGTCACTGTGACAAGACTGAGTGAGAACTTATCTCCGAGTCGAACTCACCTTCTTACATGCAATTTGTTACTTTCTGCATGCAGCCTCAGCGTGGTTGTCCAATCATTCTATTTTTTTTTAGTTCATTTATATACGTGTGCTTATAAATATTGCACAAACATTGATTTAGATGACAAAAGGCATTTGAATCAGTGAGAACTCATAGTCACCAAAGCAGAGATATTAATAAATAAAATATTATGTACATATTTATGGAGTTGTCAGAATGTATCGATTCAATATACAACATAAATCACCTATGTATATTCCGATTAAATATAAGCTAATGTAAAAAAAAGCCTTAAAACTGTGTTGCTGTATGAATCCTACTGAACGTGAGCTTCGGACAATGCATTTCAGTCATGCAAAACTGTTTGCTTTAAAGTTACCCTAGAGGTTGAATGATATACAATTAATTGAGGATTTAAATATTTATTGCAAAATCAAGTGCACCAATTAATCACCTTGTGGAGAACGCCACATGCGAGCGAGCGAAGCTCATACAGGACACACCTGCGGCCAGTTGCATTAAACACCTGAACTGAAGAAATCGCAATTAATTACCGCTGATTTAAAGAGGAGCCTTGGGTAATTTTGTACCTCGAGTTGTTTCATTCGGGTGACCCCGCTGATCCTCACTTTGCACCTTACCTTGGCCCAGTTGGCACGCTTTGTGGAGATTTCAGGCTTGTACTCCTTCTTGGGCTGCAGGCCAAAGGGCAGGCCCGGACGCTGTGCGGCGAAGGTGAAAAGACCAGGTGGCGGAGGAGGGCCTCCCATCCCTGGTGCTGGTGGCGGCGGAGGGGGTCCCATGCCAGGAAGTGGGGGAGGAGGTGGTGGCCCCCCCATCCCAGGTAGAGGAGGCGGAGGAGGAATTCCACCCATGCCAGGTAGAGGAGGCGGAGGAGGAATTCCACCCATCCCAGGTAGCGGAGGTGGAGGAGGAATTCCACCCATGCCAGGTAGAGGAGGCGGAGGAGGAATTCCACCCATGCCAGGTAGCGGAGGCGGAGGAGGAATTCCACCCATGCCAGGTAGCGGAGGCGGAGGAGGAATTCCACCCATCCCAGGTAGAGGAGGTGCAGGAGGAATTCCACCCATACCAGGTAAAGGAGGTGGAGGAGGAATTCCACCCATGCCAGGTAGGGGAGGTGCAGGAGGAATTCCACCCATGCCAGGTAGGGGAGGTGCAGGAGGAATTCCACCCATCCCAGGTAGAGGAGGTGCAGGAGGAATCCCAACTGTCCCAGGTAGAGGCGGTGGAGGAGGAATTACAATCATCCCAGGCAGCGGTGGTGCAGGAGGTGGGGCTGGGGCTCCTCCCGTTGAGTCTGGTGCAGCTGGCTTGATCTTCAATGAAAAGGAACACAAAATCATCTTGGCTATATATATACACTAAGTATGACCGAAAATGTTACAAATATTCAGGAGTAGCTTCTAAACTCAGGGATGATAATGTATTTGCTATGATAAATAAGTACATTCTATAAAACGAAGCATACGAATGCAACTCGATGACAAAATAAAATAAAACATTAACTGCAACGAGATCATTAATTCATATGCACCACCACCGATGGCATGATACTTAATTTTGTAAACAGTTATAACAGTTGAAATGCAATGTATTTTTTACATTTTTACTTGTGAACCTTGCGTACAGAAAACTCCCAATTGACAGCTGGTCCCTCCAGATCAAATTGAGCCATCACAAACAGTCAAGGTTGGATATAGCACTATGGTCACAACCATAATGATATGTTCCACCCGGTTTTAAAATGTATATACAAATTTAAACTCTCCCAGCCATGGTGGCAAAGCAATTACCATTGTTTTCATCATCGACACAATATAGCATGCCTCCAATGCAGTACATCTGGAAGTGCCCTGAGGCAGGAAATCCCCAATGGCAGCTGTCCCTGAACGCAGAACAAGCCTGCAAGCAGGAATTACATTTGCCCATCTGGGGGCGATGTTTGTATGCGGCTTCCCACTTCGCGAGCAATTGATCAAATTTGTCAAATTCGGAACGCGATGTCACCACGCATCGGCCTGCTCTTAAACGACAAACCACGTGGGATATTTAAACGACCAATGTCAAGCAAATTGACGCGTCGTATTTAAGGTCAATACAATTGGCGGCATTAACCAGGGTTGGCCGCTGGCCTCGAACCGCGAACCTCTCGACCGTGTCGCCGCACGATAAGAGGCGAGTAAGCGCTGTAGAGTTTGAGAATGGCAGAGGCACCTCTTCCCTGGCTCGGGCAAACTCCTCCTGCAGTCTCAGCTTCTCCTGGACTTGGAGCTGCAGCTCTTGAGCAATGCGTGTTTTCTCTTCTTCCAGTTGCGTGGCACGTGCCTCAGCCTCGTACCTCCGAGTTTCCGCCTCACCCTCGCGCCGTTTCAACTCGGCCATCGCTTCCTGTCGCACTGTCATCTCTGCCTCCAGCTGAGGGATTGTGTTGCGAAGGACTTGGTTAGAGGAATAAACGGCTCCGGATTAATTTTTGTTCATCATCAAGAATGCCAAGTTATAGGCCCAAAGGCTCAAAATGCCAAGCGGTCAGCAGCAAACGGCGCCGTTGAAGTCGGGAAAAAAAAGAGCTAATAGGTTTCTTGAATTGAGAAAGGTAATAAGAACTTTCGAAAACAGACAATGGGAGGGAATTCCAAAGCCGAGTCATGCGAGGAAAGAAGCAGTGAGAGAAGTGCTGTGACCTGCAGTGTGGTGGTTGAACAGTGTGGATGAGATGGAATGGAAAGTCAAGGAGAGGGAGAATTCAACATGGGTGAAATGCTCGTTGTGACTCAATGGCGATGTTCATATATCGGCAAGGGCAGCAAGAATTTAATGATATCACAATGAAACATTAACTTTATATAATAACTTACATGAAACAAAGTTATTCAGTGAAATTCAATTAATGCCTGTTATCGATGTTTACATCAAACCGAGAAGGGAGACAATACCTTTTAATACCTTTAAATTAGCTTTAATTCCTAAAATAAATATAAAAAAACAATGAGATAAATCTATCTATTTAACAGCGCTGGTTTAAACTACCTCTGGGCTGCATTTTACCCATGAGAAATACTTTTTATTTTATTTCCATGTCATTAAACTGTTACATTATTAAATGTAATCTACATGGCCATTATTCTTACTAGATCTAAAAGAAAGGAATGGTGCAGTGGAAATAAATTTCACTTGAAAAATCCCAAGGGAAAATTTCCCCGTGAACAAATTACACTTTGTGTTATCATTCCACCCCACCAGCCCATTTTGAAAATCCATTCAATTTAATCATTAATATCTAGTGAATTCTGTATTCACTGCCTCCACAAGATGACTAACCTTTTTCTCCAGTTCGCTGGCTCTTAACTCGTATTGTTCTACCTTCTGCTGATTCACCATATTTTCTGAAAACACAAAAAAATTGAAAGTTGAAACAAAAAAACAGGCAACAATTATTGGCAAAGTGCAGTCAATAAATTTTGTGTCAATTTCTGAAAATCTCCACGGAATTTTTTGTTTTCTAATAATAATGGTCTATCAGGCATAACGCATCGCAGTCACCAGTTTAGTGTGACTATTTGTGCGTGAGAATTCATAAAATGTTCTGTATACACAAGAATGGAATTCAATGCTTGCCCTAAATTGCGTCAGCTCACCAATGATGCATGCAAATTTCATTTTCCCGTGGAAAATATGAAGGAAATTTAGTGCATGTCCAATATTCGTCACTTAATAAGGATATTACAATTTGGCAAATTGGTACTAATCACGTACATATTTTTTCTCTTTCAATTTTAATCATAATCTAAATATGCGGGGAAAATGTATGTATTAACTAGTTTAGTCCTTTCAGTAAGAAGACGACCTAAAATTCAGATATTTGCTCGAAAAAAAGGATAAAATGATCATAATTGAGTATTTTTGGTATCCGCTTCATACTGATAGTGCGAGGATATTATAAAGGTACGACGTTTCACAGACAAGTACGGTCTATCAATAGGGTGCAATGTTGCTCGATGTTTTTTACCCACTTAGTAATCTGCGAGTAATTTGATAAAATTTGGACTTTAACAACAGCACACATGGCCAACTCTTTTTCCAATAACTTCATGGGGATCTTTAACATCTGCTGCGAAGCAGTCCGTGCGAAGCTCGTCAACAATATAAAGATTCATTTTGGAACAAAATGAAGCTTTATATTATCTGCCGGGTTGTGAAAGTGATTATTATATGGCCAAGTACCTATTAAATTATCAACGTCCACGTGGAAGCGACTTGTGGAACGGAAGTCAGGGTCCACACCCCCACGGTGCAGCACCACTTGTGAGACACATTCCTCGATGAGACGGAAATACTGAGGCCTTTGCAGAACAGAAGCACACACAAAAAAAACAAAAATATCCCCATATAGACTTAGCAGACTGTTGGGGCAAGTGCTGTTAGCGAGTAGCACCTATGAAGGCTAGCACAGCACACGTACAGCACAGGTGGGGGGGGGGGGGGGATAGGTGGCCATCACCACGCCCGGCACACATAAACGAGCATACACACACACACAAATGTTAAGCATAAAGAATATGTAAAGTAGAAGGCTAAACACAAAGATTCTCACATTTCTATATGGTATTTGACTACGACTGCCTAGGTATCTAAGGTTGTCCTGGCAGCTTTTTTTAGGATCTGTATTGATAAAGCTGAATTCTTAAGTCAGTTGATTTAGCTGAATCAATTCAGTTGCTGATAAAGCTCCACTCACATGGAGAGACACATCGGACATCATACTGAACAACAACGTGGCACAATCCAACCAAACATCGGAAATCTGCGGCATCGAAGTGTTCAATTATTTGCCACCTTCTATAAAGTAGTGTAGTAAAAATCAGTGCAACCCAATAACTCGAGGAGCGCAGGTGATTAAAATTCAAACTACAAAGGTCGTAATGTTTTCCTAGGAGTCTTGTACGGCAGGGCCATGAGAACGCCGACTACAATCCCTTGCATGCGCAGCCCTTCGTACAACGTGGACAAACATTTCCCTAGCCGATGCTCAAAGCACCCAAGTAAAAAAAAAGCCTCATTTATAATGCATTTCTCGATTACCCTGTAAATCTAAATCTGCTGGCAGCAGCAGTGAGAGCTTGTCAACTTGCCGGCGCGTCTCTTTCCCAAAGCCCGTCCATTCCCCTGGTCTGTTTGCCGGGCCCCAGGGCTACAATAAAAATCCAGAATGACGGCACAGCGCTGGCTTGGACAAGCACCGCTGAGCGCTGCTCATCACATAGCTAGCAGCCGGTGTTAATGACCGGGATAAGCCTCACGATTAGGTACAGCATGCAGGAATTTATGGAAAATAAGCCTGGCACCAAAATTCTTCCACAGAGCTTCAATTTGTTTATTTTAATTAAATGGCCATGGAAATAAAATAAGGAAGCAGATCAGTGGTACCCAAAAGGATTTCGTCATGCTCGCTGCACCATTGCATCTGTGATAAACAGATGCTGGCATTTGGCCATCTTTTAACCCTTGTTTTACCAGATCGCGAGCCCCAAAGGACAATCCCCTCTTGATGTCTCTAGGATAAAGGGCATATGCAGTCAGGCAGCAAGAAATCATCTGCCAAGTCGAACTGTTTATATTTATAAATTTAGTAGAGTTTACACATGGTCTTACACCTTTTTGGCGATTCCTTAATTAACTTACGAGCCACAGTATGCTGTAGCTGCAGAATATTTCTAGCTGTTCTTGCAGATTAATAAAAGGTAGCGCTTCCAGTGTGAAAAGAAATGCCACATTGGCAGGTAAGGGTGCTGATGGCGACATTGGCATTGGGCCAAGAGAACAAAAACAAGGCACATGAAAATATAAATAAGGCAGCAGCAGAGTATTGGTACGTAAGTGGATGGCACCTGACAAGGAAGTCGTTGCGAATGAGCAGCAGGTGCTGCATTATGGACAGGAAAGGCTGCTCAGCTTGAGTATCCTTCACCGTGTTGGACAGGAAGGCGTACACATCGTTGATGTCAGTGCAGACAAAGGTTAAAGAAAACAAATCTAATTATGCATTTCACATGCACCTCACAACTGCAGCAAAATAATCAGATTCTGTGCAAAAAAAAATCACGTATTTGCGTGTAAACATTTGGAAGCAAATCAACGGTTCAAAAATCAACAATGGTTATTGAAGGATATTCCAACTCTCCACGGATATCTTGCAGACGCTGAGAGAAGTCCTGGAAGTCGCCCTCTCGGCCCTCGTCAAACACGCGGAGCTGCACCTCCAGCTGCTCGTTTTGGATTTCCCTCAGGTGCTGTCACAGGGCAAGTGCACAGCAGACATGATACATGCGTGCCCCAGTTTGCACGCATCTACATTGCTTATATGTCACCCAACAATTGTTTAAACACATTTTACAACTGCCATGCTAAATATCATTATCTGTAAATGTCATTCTGTTTGGGGATTTTTTTTTATATGTACAGTGAGGGGAAAAAAGTATTCGATACCCTGCTGAATTTGTACGTTTGCCCACTGACAAAGAAATGATCAGTCTATAATTTTAATGGTAGGTTTATTTGACCAGTGAGAGACAGAATAACAACAAAAAAACATCCAGAAAAACGCATGTCAAAAATGTTATAAATTGATTTGCATTTTAATGAGGGAAATAAGTATTTGACCCCCTCTCAATCAGAAAGATTTCTGGCTGCCAGGTGCCTTTTATACAGGTAACGAGCTGGGTTTAGGAGCACACCTCTTAAATGGAGTGCTCCTAATCTCAGCTTGTTTACCTGTATAAAAGACACCTGTCCACAGAAGCAATCAATCAATTAGATTCCAAACGCTCCACCATGGCCAAGACCAAAGAGCTCTCCAAGGATGTCAGGGACAAGATTGTAGACCTACACAAGGCTGGAATGGGCCACAAGACCATTGCCAAGCAGCTTGGTGAGAAGGTGACAACAGTTGGTGCGATTATTCGCAAATGGAAGAAACACAAAAGAACTGTCAATCTCCCTCGGGCTGGGGCTCCATTAAAGATCTCACCTCGTGGAGTTGCAATGATCATGAGAACGGTGAGCAATTAGCCCAGAACTACACGGAAGGATCTTGTCAATGATCTCAAGGCAGCTGGGACCATAGTCACCAAGAAAACAATTGGTAACACACCACGCCGTGAAGGACTGAAATCCTGCAGCGCCCGCAAGGTCCCTCTGCTCAAGAAAGCACTTAAACATGCCCGTCTGAAGTTTGCCAATGAACATCTGAATGATTCAGAGGACAACTGGGTGAAAGTGTTGTGGTCAGATGAGACCAAAATGGAGCTCTTTGGCATCAACTCAACTCGCCGTGTTTGGAGGAGGAATGCTGCCTATGACCCCAAGAACACCATCCCCACCGTCAAACATGGAGGTGGAAACATTATGCTTTGGGAGTGTTTTTCTGCTAAGGGGACAGGACAACTTCACCGCATGGACGGGGCCATGTACCGTCAAATCTTGGGTGAGAACCTCCTTCCACCAGCCAGGGCATTGAAAATGGGTCATGGATGGGTATTCCAGCATGACAATGACCCAAAACACACGACCAAGGCAACAAAGGAGTGGCTCAAGAAGAAGCACATTAAGGTCCTGGAGTGACCTAGCCAGTCTCCAGACCTTAATCCCATAGAAAATCTGTGGAGGGAACTGAAGGTTCGAGTTGCCAGCCTCGAAACCTTAATGATGTGGAGAAGATCTGCAAAGAGGAGTGGGACAAAATGCCTCCTGAGATGTGTGCAAACCTGGTGGCCAACTTCAAGAAACGTCTGACCTCTGTGATAGACAACAAGGATTTGCCACCAAGTACTAAGTCATGTTTTGCAGAGGGGTCAAATACTTATTTCCCTCATTAAAATGCAAATCAATTTATAACATTTTTAACATGCATCTTCCGTACAAAATCAGCAGGGGATCAAATACTTTTTTCCCTCACTGTATGTAGATTTAAGGCAAAGACAACACTGATTTCTACTCAATTAAGCAATGAAGGTAGTCTACATCATCTAATGAGAGCCCCGAGCCAAAGGTCGAAATTCCTCATTGTTATGGCATTGGCGAGTCTATCCATCGGACAACCACTCTTGACTGTCTTGCAAAGTGGTACTAATTTTATTAACCACGAAAGGATGATGAGTCAAACCCCAAAACAGGATTTGAATTCGTAACCTTCTGGTTTCGAGCGGCTCGCTCTTTCACTGATCCACCTCGACCGATGGAATTAGGCATTTACAAAAGTCTGTGGAGTCTTAACATTGTAGTACATTCGAATTACTTATTAATGAGAGGTAATATTTAAAACACGTTAAATTGATCGTCATTACAGTATCTCCATTTAAAGTATTGAACATACATTTATTAAACTTGAGTCATAAGCTAAACAGTACAAACACAAAGTGTGAAAAATAAATTAGCGTTAATATTTTACAGTAGTTTCAAACAAAAAAATAATCACAGACTGCTCAAGCAGATGTCAGTGCATGGGTACCGTAAGCGCCTTGCCTAGGCCATTGCGCATGAACTCGTTACGGAGATGAATCCTGAATTCTAGATCCTCCGGGGTCTCCACCAGAGCGTTGATGAGAATAAAGCAAGCAATCTGCAGCATACACACACAAACACAGGTGACAAGAGGCGTTCGTTTCATCAGGGCGGCCAATGGAGGCTTATGCGTAATCCGAGAGAAGAAGGCAACTCCTTTAGAGGAAGGAGTACCCACACTTTACCCCAATGCATGCGACCTGCCAATCAACTAACTGTGATGTAACCCATTTATACTGCTGGATGGACGTAGGTGGGGGTTTATTTTAAGAACATTGGCCATTGCTTCAATGAGCATTGTTCTTAAAACCACAAACTCTGAATTGCAAATCCGGTCCGCTAAACCATTCATGCCTAACAGCTTGAAACAATGGAAAAAAAGGTCTAATTAATCAAATGATTAGTTGAAATTTGGGTTAGGTTAAATAATTAAGAACACTGTGGCCCTCCAGAACAGTTGTGCACTCCTGCCTTAGGGTCTTTTTGGTGCAGGGTTCATGTGAGCAAAGGGAATGGAAGCAAGTCAAAAAAGCCCATTTTGCAACAATAATATTATCACCGAAAGAGCCAACGGGACAGCTCAAGTAGTCTATTGTACACTGGATAGCACTAATATCCAGCACTTGGAAGTCATGAGCTGATTTTTACACACATGGGTCCCTCCCAACATGGCTTACGGAGTGGCAGCACAACGGACGCGTCATGTACATTTACTCAGTGGAACCTTTCATTTGTGGATATGATATCAGCGGGCCAACATTGATATTAAACGAGAGCAGCTACTCCTGAGAGAAATTAAGCAAGTTTAGAGAACAATCGGTGAATTTTAATTCGTAACAAATCAGGGGTGATCTTCGGTGAGCGGGATGTTAAATATGCATTTTCATTGCAATTAAAGTACAAAAATGACTCAGTAGGCTCCTAATCATGTGTCCTCTCCCCATTTATACACAATTATGTGCAATTACTTGTCTACACAATCATAAAAAAAGCATATTTTCTTCCAACACACCTTAAGTGACAGGCTCTGCTTTACATCCAGGCCTTCAACGATGGGTTGGAAACGCTCCTGCTCACAGATCTCCGCGCATTCCGCAAGCGCATCCAGCACTCGGCTTGAGCTGACAAGCGGATGCACACACACATAACCAGACACACACAGATTAAAAAAAACCACACACACACATACATAATCTAGCCCATTGCAGTGTGCACGTTTTGGCCCGAGGGCCAGGAAGTGTCTTCCTTTATGATAAAGTTTCTTCTTGTAATGCTCGGTGCACATTCGCCCAAATCCGTGTTTAATTTGCAAGTGTAGACATCCAAGGAAGTATGCTTTTGCAAATGGTTCTGTAAAGTGTTAGGGTTCAAAATAAATGGCACTACTAAGCTGTATAACTACTTGGATTCTTTAATTTGTTTGACTAATAGCACACTTAAATCTGCTGCCGCCGTGAGTGTGAAGAGGGTGGTTGTAGGGTGGGTAGAGCCTCGGGAGCTCTACGTATCGTGGTGTTAGGAGGAAAACCTATCCTTTTCTCAACCGTAAAGTTGAAATGTGGTTTATGGCATCCTTAAGCAAGCATTAATTTGAAGAGGATGCCAAGCTGCTCCATCAAAACGAATTGTTCTCACATATTCCTGCTTATTACTACACTTGCTTTCAATCGAATTCAATTAAAGGCAGAAAACTGCATTGAACAGAACAGACAGAACACATTTACAACGATTTCGAAAATCGTGAATTTATAGGCAAACTGTACTTTCCTAGAAACTGAATATTTTTGTTCGTTTTTTTTAGGCGGTGACATGGCCCAGCGCATTTTCCACTTGTTGCAGAGGTTCATGGTTCAAATTCCAATGGCCGCCCTGGTTAAAGGCAGTCACTGCATCGGGCGCTTTCAGATGCACTTTTGTGGCCGTCTGGAATGCTCTTCCTTCCAACATTAGGAACCCACTAGAGCTATGCACTTTATTTATTTAATATTTAGAACCGCTTTTTGTGTTTAGTTTGCGGTCCTTCCCCCGCACCTCCGATTTGCACGGTTGGCTAAGTACGGTGTGAAAGAAGTTCAACATGCGCACAAACAATCCTGTTGGTGTATTTACCCTAAAAATATGCAGTCTGCTTCACATTGCTTGTGAAAGAGCCTGTTATGTCATTCACGAGAGGGGGAAATTGTCTTCCGGCATCATGGGCCAATTTACCAAATTCGAAAAATTGCCACAAATTACTCAATTGGAACTATGCTTATAAGTCGTGTACCCACCCCTCTCCACCCCCACTGAACACTTGGCAGGACACTCGTGAAAAGGAGTCATGAGAGTGAATAATACAGACATTAAATTTACCATTCATTACCTAAGCTGGCCAATTCATGCGTCTTGTTTTAACATGCAATCTCAGCGGATACCTTTAATGTTATTTCCAAAGAAAATACAAAAAAGGTTGTATAATGAATGTTAAATTAAATTTACTTAACAGTGTGCTTTAATTGATAGTAAGTCAATCATATCACATCTCCGGAAAAATGATGAGCCACTGAGACCACACACTAAGGTTCACACAAGTGAAAGTTCAGTTTGGAAAACTCGTGGAAATGAATTTGTACACCTAGGGCATGTCCTAAAGATAAATACAAGTTCAAACTTCGATCACAGCAGGAGTCCCTTAGCGTCTTTGCAAACCAGTATCTTTGAAAGAACGGTTCACTGAATTTGTTGGAAAAACAAAAGCATATTTTCCACGTCTCGTCTCTTCCGATACCTTCAACATTCGGCGAAGACATGCCTGTGAAAGTGTTTTGCCCTCCAGGAAATATTTTCTTTGAAAGAAACGAGATAAATCTCAAGCTGGGTATGTATGGGTTATTTTTCTCATTTGATCCATTTTTATGCAATTGGGCAGAGCCAGAATTTCATATGTACATTTCAAAGGCCTTTAAAGATATGGCAAATTATTCATATGATGGTGAAGCAGCTTTTTTACTTGGGAATAAGGACTGTAATTCAGATATAAACTATTTGTCCACTTTCTTGATAAAGGATAAAGGCTCATAAATCACCACGGTGTCATACGTATTCAGATTGATTTGCATTTTCAATACACGCCGGAATGTCCAGGGTACATTCAACATCGTATGTCAAATTATTCCTTATACAAATGGTTTTTTTGTTACTATAATCACCTTAATAATTTAAACACGTTTCATTATCATTACACTTATTTACACAGGAAAGCCTCCCTTAGTCTCAAGATATGTTTTCAGGAGAGTCCTGCCAGGTTAAAATTGCTTTGCACATTCTGATTGAGTAATTTACGGGCAATTTTCAAATGTGGAAAAAATGTGGACTATTACGCAGCGCCACGGTGACGAGATGTTAAATACCTCACCTGGTATGCAGAAGGTCGTGCGTTTGATCCTGACTCCGATGCCTGTATATTGAGTGGACATGTTCTACCCGTGGGCCATGTATGTTTCTTCGGGTCCTTCAGCTTTTCCCTCAATTATTTATAAACAAACGTTTAGTTTTGGCTGCTATAAATTTGAACATGATAAGCCAATTAGTTGAGCTATCATTTATGGCCAGGCCGCTTCTGAAAAGGAGCTATATAGCTCAGTGGGCCTTACCTGGTAAAATAAAAATAGTTGAATTCTTTATTTAGTTCATACAATGGCCTACTCCTTCGAATGACATCACGGGTTGTTAAATGCCCCACTGTGATGCAGATGACGCATATTTTTACGGTTCATACACACGCAGTATTAATCATGGCAGCCATTATCAGAATCTGTATCTAGACTGGAGGAATCCGATGAACTACGAAACTCTTTTTCACAGATGTCCAGCCACTGGATTTGAATATTGAACTTCTGTAACAAGCAGCATGGCCTCGCGTTAGCAAGGCCATGACTCTGTCCCATTTGTATTACTCAGAAAATATATATTTTTACTTTGAGGTTTTATTAATTTGTGAAATTGCCCATTTGTTTGGGAAACCTTTGTATTTGTTTAAAACGAGAATGCATATTTACAATGTGGGGAACCGGGAAAAAGCCAGATGGAAAAATATACCAGCTTCGGCAGTTAAAGCCTCCCTAATGGAGTGCTTGCTAAAATATAGGACAATGAAACACTGAAAACTGGTGTGCTATTGCACTTATTCCATCTATCATACAGCATGTAGTGAAATATATCTGTGGTGCAGTGTCACTTTCCAATAAAGTACAACCAGCCTGTAAAAACCTAGTCGCGTGTAATCAAAACCAATGTGCGAGTGTGTGCGTACATGGTATGCAGCCAACAGACGGTATGCACCATCCGACCGACTATGGCACATTACAAGGGGAGCAACTTACGGCTTCGCGCCATCAAAATGGTCCTCGTCGAGTATAGAGAGCGCGGACAGCAAGCGCACGGCCTCCACCATCATAGACGGGTGCCGGGGCTCGACGGCACGCGCCAACAGGAGCACGCCGTTGTGGGTGGCCAGCATGGCGCGCAGGCCCACCTGTGCACAGCAAGTGGTGAGGATCGCACGTGCGATGCTACTCAGGATGCAAACAGCACGGGGCGATTGCTGCACACACATGCAAGCGCTCCCGATGTGATTTCGGATTGTGCCGCTTGCTGATCTGCAAGATGTCCAGGCGTTTTGCGCCCACGTGCTATGAGCTGAATGGTTCGGTTCCAGAACAAGCTCTCGAGCACGTGGAGCAACGCGCATTGTCGTCATGCCGAACAACACGCGGTCAGAACTGAAGATGCATCAGAGAGCTGTGCAGTACAACCATGAAACCTCGACAGTACCACGAACGTACATATATTTAAAAATGCCATTATATTTCGAATTTTTTTTCTGTTGCGGAAATTACAAATGTGAATACTGTCATCTATTTTATTGTATTTTTCAAGTTTTGGGTACACCGTCTCATTCTTATATGATCAGTGGTATTCAGCTTTTCAGAAATCCAAGTGATGTTTCTGAATAAATTGATGAAAAAATGCATGATATTATCATGACACTTTCCCCAATGTATTTCAAGAGATGAATAAAAATAGTAGATAATGGCAGTGCAATGTAGGCTACATAACTACACATGCTCATTTCGATGGAATGCTGAAACAGCTTTAGTTGATTGGAGGAATCCGTTTTTTTTATTCCCTAATGAGCCAAAATCTGCAAATAATCACATTTCAAAAGGACGCTAGAAATGACATGAGCCGTTACACACTTCACTTATTAAGAACAGCGGGCATATTAATTAAACATTTTCAAGTGCCAAGGAAGAGCAGGTGTCTCTGAGACTAGCTCAGAGACATTCTAGGGGGTACAAATCCTCCTTTAATGTTTATTCACAGCAATCTCGTACATACGTTTGTGAAGATGAAACAAGAAACGTCACGTGTGCCACATGCAGAGTTAGAATAAATTGTATTTGTAGGTTATATAATGCATGTCCATGTAACAACAGCCCGTTGCTTTTAAGAAATAAATGTATTTATTCACTACAAATTCTGTATGAATTTACTCTCAAAAAGTCGTCTCCCAAAATATACGTTCATCAACGTGCGATGATATATTTTGAGTGCCGTCTGTATGTTCACAAAACTTATTTAGATGGAGGCCTTATGTCTACCAGTTACTCACATTTTCCTTGTGATTTCATGCATTGCAGAATATATTGAGCTATTCTATACAAGCCATCGTGTTCCTGCACATGTTAAACTTCACTTTTCTTCTATATACACAGAGTCTTATAGTATCATCGTCACATTCAAAACATAAAAATGCTAATTTCATCAAAAATATAAATGAAATACATGCGAAAAAGTAAAATTAATGTAAAATAGTAAAAATTTAAGCACTTTTTAGACAACAGCAGTTTACCAAAACCATATCAGGATAACTATAGATTAATCAAATTATACAGGCCTGTTTAAATGAATGTATCCCAGGTGGTAATCTAATAACACTATATAACAATTAACCCAAATGAAAAACATAATAAACACCCAGAACAAAGGGTTCACGTAATAACATTTCAGCCCGTAATAGATCAGAGCATGTCACGATCTTTTATCCAGGAATTATTATTATAGTCACTTTAATTGTTCAACCATTTTGTGTTAATAACGTCAAACCACAATTTAAACACACTTACATGCAAGTCCCCCTACACACACACTGAGAAAGTTGAATGTGTATGCTCCAACACACGCACGCACATTACAAAAGTCAGCGGTTGTGAACGGCGCAAAAGTCTGGTGGTCAGGGCAGGCAGATTATCCTTCATTGAAAAACCACTGGCACCTAACCGTGGTCAGCATGGTGCATGTGCCCGCCTGTTACCAGGGCAGAAATACAACATACAGGGCCAGGCAGATGAAAAATATGCAGTGGAAAGCAGAGGGCCTTCAAAAGAAGGGTTGGGGGAAAAAAAAATGTTGGTGATATATTTATCCATAGTAAAAGCCCCTGCACTTAACCGTAGCCGGCATGGCGCACAGGCCCATCTGTACATGGGAAGAGCAACAAAGCAGAGGCCATGAGAAAGCAAGGCTTGAAAGAGAGACACAGAATACAAATGAATCTAGGACACTAGATGGGTGCTAAGGGAGGAGGCGGGGAGTACTTTGGCTGGGTGTTAATGGCCACATGGGCAGATCAACAAAATAGTGCACCACAAGAGAGAGATGGGCAGGAAAAACAGGAATTGGGATCTATGGGGAAACCAAGGGAGGATGGCCTGACTAATCGTTGGTGTACATTAGAAAACAAACGTCTGAAACAATTGTGCAATATGAATAAGACGTTTAGAGTACCCAGAATCAATTCGTTTTCAGTAAAATGTGCCGATTCTAACTCATTACAGAATCTAACGTACACATACATGATACTCCCCAAGTATCCATTTCACTTCAGCGTCATGAAAAAATCTCGCACTTAAGTATGCTAGTCATGCAAAAAAAAAACTCCACTCCGTTGACACCCGACACTTACCTTGTTGTTCATGAAGGCCCTCAGGCATCGCACGATCTCGAGCTGAATTTTCCAATCAAAGTGATTCGGGCTGAGCAAAAACACAAAACACTCACACTTTAATTTATCTGCAACACTTCCCAGTGTCTGCTTGAGAAAGGCATCTGAAGGACATATAACATGTAATGCACACCTTGCTCAGAACCACTCTAACAGTGACCTCGATAAATGTATTCATGGAAGATGAAAACAAAAAGGTGATAAACTTTTATATATATCACAAAATGAGATGATAAAATCTTATACCAAAATGAAGTGACAGTAAAACACCTTTGTTTCTCCTGAAGGTCTTGTAGAATATCCAAAAGGATCTTTAGTCCTTCATCACCAAAAAGCTCCACCCAGCTGTGAAAAATAAAATAACATTAAACAATTGATATAGATTTTTAAAAAATTGGTGTTTTATTGATTTTCTAAATATGCCTCTAAAAAAAGCTTTTTTGTCAAGCAAGTAGCATGTAATATACATCAGGAAAATGTAAATATTTTAATGTACATTTTGCACAGAAGTGTCACAATCGTGGGACTGGTGCTCAAAATTTTATATTTGTTGGATATAAAAAAAATATATTTTGTCTTAGCTACAGCAAAAGTGGCAGCCACAATGTCAATAAGAACAGAGATTTCACAGATTCTCATTTTTTTCGCCTCTTTATGAACTCAAACCCTACAACAGCAGCAGCGGCGGCGGCGGCTGCCCTTCCTTGGGCTCCCCCCACTGCCTCCACCCTCGTCCTCAGCCCGAAATTAAATTCTCTCATTCCCGTGACGGCACACCTGACAGGATTGCTCGTGAGGGACACTCTCAGAGACTCCAGGCAGGAGAGCAGGCGCTCCTGATCGGAGTCGTGTTCCATCTTCCGAAGTCCAGTCAGTTCTGTGATGTAGTCTTTTCCCGACAACGCTGTGTCCCGTTTGTGCGTTCCACCCTGTGCCGCGTAGCACCACACCACAACTAAAACGTCCGAATGTGCAAATAACAACCAAAGATAACTGCAGTCGCAATGGATGAATTTTCAAGAAATAAGCATCGGTTATTACAACCAAATGGTAAGCAGAAGTCGGGGAGGAAATACAAGGTGGCATCCTCAAATGTGTCTGCATTGTTATTAGGCATGGGTTGAGAATGCACATTAAACAAGTGAGGTTTAATTGAGCCTCTAGGTACACATTTAAATCCCACAGGCACAGTAGGTGCTTGCTAGTTTGAGACTGTCAATCTTCTTGGTAAAAAAAAGATCAATGCTTTACATTCTAATTACGCCACGTACCTGAAGTTAAACTCAAATTAAATTACTACAATTCATTGCAAAAATAAGTGAAAAGAAAAGTTTACAATTACCTGAAAAATGAGCAAAAAATATCTACAAAAACTTTGTTATTAACACTGAGAATGCTCAAACTTCCAAATCTTTTTCAATAGGGAGCAGGATAATCATTGCATGCAGATTCAAGCAATTGGACAAGGATGTAATTTCACCCAGAAAAGCTTCAGTTTATCCCATATTCATTTGGCCAGAAAAGGAGAGCAAGACAAGGTATAAAACAGCAACTGAAACGGGGAATATCACCTATCCTGCGTATCGCCATCTGGCTAAACGCGATTGAATGAGCGTGCTAAAAAGGAGCGAAAGCTGTTACGGGTGCTATCAACGTAAATCACACCCCAATAAATGAAAAAAAAGTCAGCACCCAGTTCGGTGCGTGGGAAATGTCAACCGCCAGATGGGCCTGAAATTTTAATGGTTGGCTTGATGAGTTTTGCCGTGAAGCTTCGGGGTGTTTTGGGTTGGATGAGGGTAGTGGGTGGATGGGTGGAGGGAGAGGAGCTAAGTGTTGGTTAGCATATCTCTGAGGATTGCTGATAAGTATGTCTGTCGAGGGAGCAACACAATGAGTCAAGCTTCAGGCCTTTCTCCAATTACTTTGGTATCGCTTAATTTTCACTCAGGGTGGGCATATTCTATCACATTTTCAAAAAATGTATTCTACGATAAGTGGGTGAGACTATATTGAACACGTGTCACATTTTTTGACAATACATACATGGCATACAAAATTAATTATATATGTATTTTTTACTCAAGAAACCACCTGAATTTCATCCCAGGAGTTTGGAAAATAACATACCTGGGAAGGATTGTTGTCAACCAACTCATGATCACGAAAACAGACTTCATGTAAAATCTTACACAAACATTTTATGTAATAATTTCAACAACATAGCGCTTTTCTTTTCAAATTGAGACATGTATACAAGCATAACATTGGAAATACAAACTAGGACAAATGCACATACTTCAAAACGTATCAAGTATGTACATATTATATTCTTAGCTCTTTCGGTAAAGTCACGTTGAAGGGAAACAATAAAATAATAAAATATATAAAACAATAAAAATTCTCACGACGTTTCGACCATAACACAAACGGTCGTCATCAGGTGTGTCGGTTCGCATAAATTTATTTATTTTTAAACGGTGTATTTATTTATTTAAAAACACGTCTGCGCCACGCGCAGCGATTTGGCAGTTTGTTTAGAAGGACGAGTCCATCTATGTTCTGAAAAGAGGAGGGGGGAAACGAAAAATGAATGCATGCTGTCTGAAAGCCACCGTAAGCGTGAACAATCAATTAAGACCTGAAATGGTTTATCAAATCTTTCCAATGATTGCTAAGCCAGAATCCATCTTCTCGGTTGAAATTGTCTCTGTGCTTTTTTTTGTCTCTGTACCCTACATTGCGGGGATCACAAAAAAGATCTCCAAAATCTTGAATAAACACAAGATCCAGGTCCGTTTCAACACATTACATAAAATCCGTGATCTGGTTCCGTCTGTAAGATGTGATTCCAGACATACAGTACCCTGGTGTCTACAAACTAAGTTGCCTCTGTGGTAGTAGTTACATTGGAGAAACCAAACGCCATGTCTCGGACCGCATTCGTGAACACGAAGCAGACCTTAAACACGGTAGGACCAACACCTCGGCCGTGGCAGATCATTGTTATAATTCAGTAAGCTCACATGACGTTGACTTTTCCAAGACAGAGGTTCTTTGTAAGCCATCTGGCTACCATGAGAGATTCGTTCATGAGGCTATCCACATATACAAGCACAGAGACAATTTCAACCGAGAAGATGGATTCTGGCTTAGCAATCATTGGAAAGATTTGATAAACCATTTCAGGTCTTAATTGATTGTTCACGCTTACGGTGGCTTTCAGACAGCATGCATTAATTTTTCGTCTCCCCCCTCCTCTTTTTAGAACATAGATGGACTAGTCCTTCTAAATAAACTGCCAAGTCGCTGCGCGTGGTGCTGACGTTTTTTTCAAACAAATAATAAATAAATACGCCTTAAAAAATAAATTTATGCAAACCGACACACCTGATGACGACCGTTTGTGTTATGGTCGAAACGTCGTGAGAATTTTTATTGTTTTATATATATTTTATTATTTTATTGTTTCCCTTCAACGTGACTTTACCGAAAGAGCTAAGAATATGAATTACTGCAGTCACGAAAGCTTTAAATCAAAATATGTACATATTCTTTGGGTCTTTCGGTAAAGTGAGGTAGATGGTTCAAAGAAAATAACAAAAAACCTTTAAGTCAAGATTTAAGTATGTACATATTCCTTCAAGGCACATAGAACAAACAGAAAAAAACCTCAAGCGCTTAAGTGAAAAAATAAAGCATAATCTGGTCATCCACATGCACAGAAATGTCTGGTACGATACACTCAAGAACGTGTAATTTTTTACTGTGTAAACACACATACACACGCAAATTAAGTGTATGCATAATACGCACATGTCCCTCTGATGAATAAAAGGTAAAAGTAACACACACACTGCCTGGTTATTTAACAAAGGAAGATTTACTATTATCACTCTGACACTCATTTACTGAAGAAAGCCTCACTGGGTCGCATCACCTTTTTTCATGACAGGACTTTATCAGCATTTGGGATGTTTAGCCAATACCAGCAATGGAAGACAATCAGTGAAACCGGACGAAATCATTACAACACAGGGGAAGAACTTACAAACTCCTCACAGAAAGGTACCAGAATCGGGAGTCGAACTCGGGATTCTCTTACTGTGCGCACAAGCATTACCACCGTGCTGCCACCCTGCGACCCAAGACCAGCTCAGTTATGTTCCATATCGTTTCAACAAAACACTGTTGGCAATACTCTTTGGTTCTATTCGGTAAAGTCACGTAGGTAAAAATTAAATAACAAAAATCACGACGTTTTTTACCTACCACCGTGCTGCCACCCTGCGACCCAAGACCAGCTCAGTTATGTTCCATATCGTTTCAACAAAACACTGTTGGCAATACTCTTTGGTTCTATTCGGTAAAGTCACGTAGGTAAAAATTAAATAACAAAAATCACGACGTTTTTTACCTACCACCGTGCTGCCACCCTGCGACCCAAGACCAGCTCAGTTATGTTCCATATCGTTTCAACAAAACACTGTTGGCAATACTCTTTGGTTCTATTCGGTAAAGTCACGTAGGTAAAAATTAAATAACAAAAATCACGACGTTTTTTTACCTACGTGAATAGAACCAAAGAGTATGGATCCTTGCAGTCACGAAAGCTTCAAAATCTACAACTGTTGGCAATGCGATGGAGCCATTTAAATTGCCAGCTTTAATAATTTTGAAAGTAACTCGTGACAATTCAGCATAAACACACCCATTGCATTGCAGTTTTCAATTTACTGAAGCGACGAAGAAAACTACAAATTATTCATCGCGTGTAAAACGGTGAAAGAACCCATCCTAGAGATTGCAAGTAAAAAAGCAGCGAGTTATGAAAACTAACACTCAAATTAATGACATATACAACCCAGGAAAAAGAGTCAAATGCGGCTGTTGAAAAGATGACTGCAATTTGCCATGTGATCTGTAAACGTGAGAGTGCGATTAAAAGAAAAAGCTCCTTTAAGTATGCAAGAGAGAAGGATGATGCATTCTGAAAGGTGAGGTGATATTTACCCCGTTTCCTTGGGTCACGCAACCCCAATTCTTTAGCACCACTAATCTAACAACTAGCCGCTTCTTCCTTAAATGTCACCAAAGGCAAAAACATTTTTCACTCACCTATTCCTTGAAATTCAAAGCTGAATAAATAAACAACCCTTTTTCCGTACGAGCACAGAACAACACGCGTTACTGAGGATTCGTCGCTTTTCTTAATGATGCTGACGGAGTTTGCTTGCATATCCACTGCTCAATATAAACATAATTTAATGATGTATAAATAAGGCTTGCTGCAGGTTGAGCTGATGCTTACATTTTTCTGTTAAAGTGTTTTTTTTCACTCTCCAAATATTCCTTTGTGTACACAACAAGCTTGTGTTCAAGTGTTCAGTGTGTTATCAGTACTGAGTGGAGGTTGCTAAAATCAAAACAAAAGCAGTAAATATCAGTTGTGCGAGAAGAAAAAAAAACATCTAAATTAATGTGCTTGCAACTAAATGTATTCACTGTCCTTCAATAAGGGGAGAACCTACTGCGCTACGTGACCTCTGCGGCAGGAAACAGTTGAAGAGTTAAGTTTTCAGCACAAGATCCACTTTAGACTTACGATAAGTGCATTGAATAATGCGGTTGCAAATAGATTAATTCATACGTATGCAAATCATAAGCTTAAGTCAGTTCTATGCGAATGGAGTGAAATGTACAGATCAGACAGAACAGACATGAGACATTATAAACGAGGGGTTAAAATAGGACTAAAAAGAATTTCGTCTTGAATGAAATCACATCCCCAAATCATAACAATAAAGTCGCTAGGGAGACGAGCCATTACATGCATACCAACCAGCCATTCACACCACTATGCATAGCATCAATACTCTCACGTACCACATAGTAGACCTGGGTAACTACTTCAAGAATCATATTCGAA